GATTGGGAGGTATTCTGTGACTCTGTAGGGAAGACATACCATGGTGAAAATATGCTTTCTATTTGGCTCTCCTGGACTCCACAGGTAGGTCTCCTGGGATTGAGCTGGTTTTAAGTTATCATGGTATAAAGCTCTCACATATAGAAGCTCGTGAGCACCCTGTGTCCAGTACTCAGGGCATTAAGAGTACCTGGGTTCCTTGTCTACCAAACCTGCTCTAGGAGCAGTTGGTTCAGCTCCAACATGGCCCTGTCTGTATGAGTATTCCTGCATGTTTAAGGGCAATTTGATAAAAATATGAGACATATTTTTCTTTGTATGAATTGATTCATACACTGATTGGTGGCTATGGCAGGAGGTCAGGTTTAGGAAGGAAAAAGAAAACAACAACCTCATAAAGACCCCTTCCTGGCACTGGGCAGAGTCTCTGAGTGACATCTGATACCTGTGATGTCAAAACATAACAACTATTTCAGACTCCTGTCTGTCCTGCTCCCCAGTCAAGTCAAATGCAATGGAAGTGGCTCATGGTGGTAGATCTCCCTGGCTTAAGGGTTGTAAAAGCCATGGGTCCTGTTGCTTTGTGCAAATGAAGAAGTTGATGCTCAAGTTGTTATGATATTTTTCCTGCAAACCATTTTTTATTTCTTCTAGTGAGAACCATCTACATGCCAGATGCAGCACGTAGAAGAAATATCCTAGAAATACAGGTGGAAAATGAGCTTTTACTAACATGTGATGCTCCAATTTAATCTCCAGATGGCTGTCCCCATCCTAGGGAAACCTTGAATCAGATCCTAAAGTGTGATAACTTCACTACATTGTTACTTAACAAATTTGAGAGAAAAATTCTGGCTGGTGGAAATATTGTATAACCTCCCTGCCATAAAAGCAATTTCTCTGATTCTCATTTACCTGGCAATATATTCAGTGAAAACTTTCTCTTTTAAAATAAGTTAAATGCAGTCTTAACTGTCTTTACATTGATTTAAGGTAACTTTTGAGAAGCAATCTAAAAGAATAATGCTTTGTTCTTACATTTTAAAAATACAAAAAGAAAATAGAGACCTGTCAGTGTCTGTAACATTGAAATGAAACAATCTACTCTGTTTGGATTTTTTAAAGGAATTTTTGCTACTCTCACATCACAAAAACATGCCACTACTTTTTGTTCTGGAAAGCTTTTTCTTCTTTTCGATATTTAGATCTAAAACCAACCTGAAATTCATTTTTGTGTGGTGTGTGTGTGAGGTCCATATTTTTGTGTTTATCTGGGTGGACAGCGAGCTGGCCCAGAATTATTTTATTTATTGCAAACACCAGTGCCCCCTTTGTTTTAGACAGTGTATAACATGACTCTGGATTTTTGAGTTTACTTATCCTAGTTCCATCATTATATTGGCTTAATTCCTGTGGCTTTATAATAAGTCTTGTAATCAACAAAACAAATCCTTCTACTCATTTTTCTTCATCAAGATTTCCTTGGTTATTATGGACCTTTTGCCTTTTCATATGACATTCAGAATAAAATTATTAATTTGCACTTGTGAAAAGCCTGACGATATACTGATTTGAATTGTATTCAAAACATAGATCAATTTGAAGATTTAGAATCTTTACAAAATTGCCAATCTATAAACACAATTATGCAAGTGTGTATATATGCACATATATGTATATATATATTTTTTATATATTTACCTTGACCATAGGAATTTTGTAAATTCACTTGTTAATTTTAATAGTTTATCTATTCCCCAGTTTAATTTTTTCTGCATATAACATTGTGGTGTTGTGAATAAATGACCTTTGCTATTCTCCTTTATAATTCTTATGCCCTTTACTGCTTCTGTTTGACTTATCACTGGCTAGTTCTTAAATCAACATTAAATACAAGTGGTGTTAGTGGAGCACTGCAGGCTTATTTTCTAACTCAGTAGGAAAGTTTTAACATTTCACCATTAAGTATAATGTTCCTGTCAGTTTCATGGACATTTTATTCAGATTAAGGAAATTAAGGAAGTTTGCAGTATATTGTGGGTAAAAAAAAAAAAAACACAAAACTGAATATAATACATGCTATGGTATGATACCAACATCACTACTACTTGTTCTTTATTTTCTGGAACATGTTTTCCATTATTTGTTTTCATAGTAAGAGGAAGAGAGAGAGAGGAGGGGAGGTGGATAAGAGAGAGATAATTTACAAGTTTCAGCAGTTTAGGTGTGTGGCTATTGTAAGAATTTTGTAACCTGATTTTCTGTTTTTTATCTAATTTGATTTATTCTCTTAACATCCTATACTTATTAATACATGTAATTTGATAATCAATGTACATAGACTCATTTTTACTACCTTATTTTGTGTTTTCTGTTAAGAAAACAATTATTTGCTTCTATTTACCTCCCTTTTTGCCACTTCCTACAGTTAGATTGATAATGCTTTTAACTTTCTTTTCTTTACCTTGCCACTTTGGAAACCAAAGATTCTATTTACTTTTGTGATTCCCATATATTGCAGTCCATTATTTACATAATTTATCAAGACTTTTTTTCAAGTTGGTGTTGACATTGTTTTTATATATTGGTTTTACCTCTGGTCTCACTGTTATTCTTATTGAGGAATACATTTCAATAGCACATTGGGGATCTGCAGGTGTCCAGAGCTCTTCTCATATGTGCATCCAACAATGCCTTACTTTGCTCTCATTCATTCAAGAGAGTTCTTGCAGATATAAAACTTTAGATTGATAGTCTCTCCCCTTCTTGGCACCTTAAAGATAGTAGTTTATTATCTTTTGGCCTCTTGTTCAAGAGAATTCTCTGTCAGTTGAATTGTTGTTTCTATTACCTAATTTCTTTTTATTTTGATAACTTTTAATATTTCTTCACAATCCTGAAAAAATTACATTTTAAAGAGTCTTAATAAAGACTGCTTAAGAGATAAATGAAATTATGGTTTCTATCAAAAATTCAAAAGCTTATGAAACAAAAAGTCACTAAAAGGAATCAAGAAATATATATACATATGAATCAACTTAAAAAACTAAGAAAAGAAAAGCAAAATTACTAAATATTTTAAAAAATTGAAAAGCTGAGATAAATTTTAAACTGATGCCACTCATAAAATAAGGTGTAATTAGAATATTGTTACAAAAAATATCAAGAACATGGTAAGGAGAAAAAAAGGGAAAATATATATGGAAGACCAGGTACAAGACATAGAAGACAGGTTGACTGACCACACTGTTGACCTACAAGGGGTCCCGGATGTTCTGCATATAGATTATATCTATGTCTTTCTCCCAGGTAGAGCATGGAGAAAAAAATTGTCCAAGGAATAATTGTTGATAATTTACATTTATTGGAAATTTATTTTTTATTTGTCCCACCCTGTTCTTAGAGTACATTTTTATATAAAGATTCACATCATTTTCGATTATAACAAATTGTTCAATTTGCTCTGGGTGTACCTTATCCTTTATTTATTATACTCAAGCATTGTTTTTTTTAAGCATTTTAAAGATAGCTATTTTCAATGCTGGAATATTTTTTGATTTTTTGGTAAAATTTCTTCAAATATTGTTTCTTCCCCATTTTATCAATTCTTTTCCTCACGAAATTTTATTCTCTCTAAGCATATCCTCTCAAGCATTTATTTATATATCTAAACTGTATATATATTTATTTATATATCTAAACTGTAAATAAATTTCAAAATATTACTCCTTTTTCCACCAGTATGGTGGATTCATTCACAAGATTTTCCAATAATATCACCTCCATCCTTTAATAATAGGTCTGGAAATTATCATCTTTATTTTTCTTTTTTAATTGTGTGGTTGTAATGGACCTGTTTTTATACACTAGTTGTGTTTTCATGCTTACTTTATTTCTTTTAATGTATAGAGCATTTTAATATTGTGTTCATGAATCTTAATCATAACTATAATATTAGAGTCTTTGGAAGATTGTTCTACACTTTTAATGTAATCTTGAATGAATTTAAGCTTCCAATGGTTTTCTTTGTTTTTCTTCTTTAGCATGAAATTTTTGTTGTGTTTTTTTAATATATGTTTTTAAGACATTTTGAATGGAAGAATTTCATTTTCATTTTTACTTTAATTTTAATTTCATTTCCCCACCTTTTCTCTCTGTCTTGTTATTTTCACCTGGCTCCATGAGCCTCTCATACAAAATCAGATCATATTATAGATTCTCAGGCTCTGTTGAGCCAATTATAGAGCCAGCAAGCATATTGACTTCTTAAAAGTCACCTTATCCAGAAATCCAAATGTTGTTTTAATCCTTCTTTCATGGGTTCAACCTAAGCCTTAGCTTCAAACAATTACATCAATATCCCCTCTCTCAATAACTTGCTTTGAACCCATAAACTCTAATTTCCAGAGCTCTATTCCTTTAGATTTGGAGCATGTTATGTTTTTGATTGGTTACCGCTATGTGAAGTTGTCTCATTTTAACCTGTTGGAGCTTTGTATTTTATATCTTATCACTCATATCCATGAGCTTAAAGTAGTGGAGAAATTAGAAACCCATCTTGATCACTAATATTCACTTTCTTCTTGACTAAATATATAATCATTAGTATAGGTGCAATTATAAACATTTTAATTATCACTAAGCTCGATTTCTTAAAGAAAATAAGATTAGTGGAAACAGCTTCAGTTGTTTATTGCTTAGAATGAATATAATAAGGTGAAAATGTTCTATTTTTTTCAAAGAGAAGCTAGAGACTTCAATTTTTGTAGGAAATCTTCTAATTGTTAATATTAGTCAAGAAATACAGTTTTTCAAATCACTAAAAGCCAAATTTGTTAGTCAACCTCCTAGGACTTTAGGGTAGATGGACCTCCAAATACTGATTTGTAGCTTCTGGCATAAATTCACATTCTTTAATGAAACATATATTAACTCCCTTTTTTACCTTTCAGCTGAAATTTCTGTCTTAAGTGCATCAGGTATTTACCTGTCATGGTAACATGGAGAGAAATCAGACCTGGATCACAGAAGTCATCCTACTGGGATTCCAGGTTGATCGAGCCCTGGAGTTGTTCCTCTTTGGATTTTTCTTGCTATTCTATAGCTTCACCCTGATGGGAAATGGGATTATCTTGGGGCTCATCTGCCTGGATTCCAGACTTCACACTCCCATGTACTTCTTCCTGTCACAGCTGGGCATCGTTGACATGTCCTACGCCTCATGCACAGTCCCTAAGATGTTAGTAAATCTTGTGATGCACAAAAAAATCATTTCCTTTGCTCCATGCATACTCCAGACCTTTTTGTACATGGTTTTTGCTGTTGCAGAGTGTATGATTTTGGTGGTGATGTCTTACGATCGGTATGTGGCCATCTGTCACCCCTTGCAATACAGCCTTATCATGAGCTGGAGAGTGTGCACCATCCTGGTTGTCTCTTCCTGGGTGTTTTGCTTCCTCTTGTCTCTGGTCCATTTGGTCCTCATGCTGAGGCTGCCCTTCTGTGGGCCTCATGAAATCAACCACATCTTCTGTGAAGTCCTGTCTGTTCTTAAGCTGGCCTGTGCTGACACCAGGCTCAATGAAGTAGTCATCTTCGGAGCCTGTGTGTTCATCCTGGTGGGGCCCCTCTGCCTGGTGCTGGGATCCTACTCACGCATCCTCCTTGCCATCCTGAACATCCGATCAGGGGAGGGCCGCAGAAAGGCCTTCTCTACTTGCTCCTCCCACCTCTGCGTGGTGGGGCTCTTCTTCGGTGGAGCCATGATTGTGTACCTGGCCCCCAAATCCAGCCATTCTCAAGAACAGAGGAAGATTCTATCATTGTTTTATAGCCTTTTCAACCCAATGCTGAACCCCCTGATCTACAGCCTGAGGAACACAGAGGTGAAAGGGGCCTTATGGAGAATTCTCTGGAAACAGAGACCAATGTGAAGGATGGTTTGTCATATCTTGAGTGTTTAAGGTTTGTTCTCATGATCCTGGGTCTTTTTGAATTCTTTAATTTACCAAACACAATGCTGTTTATCTTTGGACTTCTTATAAAATAAAAAAAAATTCCATTTCCGTTTAAGTTATAGATACTAAACCTAAGATAAACACACAAAATAGAAAATTATAGACTAACCCACCTCCTGAATTAAACACAGATATTTTAAAGAAAATACTATTAAAAGGAGCATAGCAAAATGAAATAAGAATGTATTATGATAGCATTATTTATATCCCCCAAATACAAGAGTTCTTTAACATTAAAACAATGAAAATAATTTGTAACATTAACAAATTAAAGGATACACATCATAGGACCATCTCAGTAGATATTAAAAAGTGTTTGATAAAGGTAAACATTAATTCAGGATAAACTCTTTACAAACTAATATAACAGAAAGCTTTTTGGGGAGAATTTACTAACTAAACAAGACAAAGGAAAGATATTATAGTTAGTGGTAAAATGTTAGGATTTTTCCTCTTAAGATAAAGAAAAGAACAATAATGTACAACAACATCACTTGTTTTCCTTGATTTCGGTTTTTGCTAGAGATTCTAACTGGTATACTTAGACAAAAGAACAAATACACACTGATGTGCAGACACACACACATTTGATAAGGAAGCAGCAGGTTGTAATTATATACAAATGACATGATTGTGCATGTAGGAAATCCAAAGGAAGTTTCTGATATATTATTAAAATTATAAGAAATTTTAACAAAGTCACTTACTAAAGTCTCTATGAAAATAGATTACTTTTTTTTTTTTTTTTTTGAGAGAGAGAGAGGGAGTCTCATTCTCTTGCCCCAGGCTAGAGTGCCATGGCGGCACAGCTCACAGCAACCTCAAACTCTTGGGCTTAAGTGATCCTCTTTCCTCAGCCTCCGGAGTAGCTGGGATTTTAGGTGACAGCCACAACACCCAGCTAATTTTTCTATTTTACTAGAGACAAGGTTTCACTCTTTCTTAGGCTGGTCTGCAACACCTGAAATGAAGCAATACACCCACCTGAGCCTCCCATTTTGCCAGGATTCCAGGCGTGAGCCACCATACCCAGCCAGAAAATATATTCCATTTCTAAAAGCAATAGAAAATAATTAACATAACATTTTATAAAATTCTGTCATCCACAAAAGGAATTAATTTTGCAATGCTTACAAATAATTCTGATGCAGGCTGTTCAAAAAATCTAAAGGGACAAGTAGAAATATTTATTGAGAAACTATGGTAGTAAATAGATGGATATACAATGTGAGATATCCCAGATTTTTTATTGAAAAATATATTATAAAAAATTCACTCTCCTCAAACTGATTAATGAGTATAACACAATCCAAGTCAATATCCCACAATATCCCAGCAGAGTATATGCAGAAGTTAATAAGCTAATTATAAAATGAGAAGGGTGAAAGCCCAAATACTATTAAAAGAGAAAAAGTACAAATGGGAGGATTTCATGCTACAAATCAAAACACACTATGCAGTGCTAATTGATAGAGCAGTGTGGTATTCACACAGGGATGAACAGACCATACTGAATTAAAAGCATAGAAGCAATTGACGCCTTTACTAACCCTTGTTCTAGGAGAGGCGTGGCCTTGTGAATCACTGAGTGAGGATAGGATTTGTAGTTAGTGGTGGGAGGACAAGTGAGTCTCCATGAAGACATTGGAATCACATGATACTTCAGTCCATTCCAGAGTACTGAAGACTTAAATGCTAAAGCCAAAACTACAAAGCTTTTAGAAAATATATATCCATATAAGGGAAGCCTTTTTAAAATAACAACACGAAATTGCAAAAATCTTTAAATTGCATTAAAAAAATTGATACACAATTTTCCCAGGTTGAAGTTAAGAACTTATATTTACCAAAGTAGTACATCAAAAGAATGAAAAGACAACTCACAAAATCCTCTTCTCTAGACCTAGTTTATCAGCTCTTAAATGGCATCTTCCTGAAACCCAGCAAATTTCAGAGATCTACTCATTGTCTTGACTGGGTGACCTTCTAACATATGTCTTCTGTTTACCTTTTTCATGGCATTTTTAGTACCTGAAGTTTTTCTCCTTATTTATTTATTCACGTTTATTATCAGTTCACTATTCTAATATGTAAGATCATCATATAATGCAATATTGTCTTGTTAATTAGCTGTGCCTCCAGCATGTAGAGCAGAACCAGAACCAAAGAAGACTCTCACTAGGTACTTGTCACAAGCTCTCTAATAGAATTCCTGGGAAAGTGGAAGACCCACCCACATTCTTCTTGAAATTAAGGAGCACATAAGTTGGGAGGGAGAGATCCATTTTTGTGTTCTATTTTAAATCCCAATTTACACATGAGGAGATTAAAGAAACAGAAGTTACATAACTTACCCAGGGTCATTGAATTAGTATAATCAATGGGAAAAACTAGAGATAAAATACAGGTTAATTCCCACCAGAGCCTATACTCCTTCTTTGCTGTTATTGATGAACAATAGAGATGTTTCTCACAGTTTTGGAACATCAATACTGTTGGATTTTAGCGAGGGTTATCTTCTGGATTGCAGATGTCTTCTCACTGTGTCCTCACATGATGAACAAAGAGAAAGAGCAAGCCTGCCTCCTTAATAGCATACAAAGTCCATATACAAGTGTAGCTTATACCAATGACCCAATGATTCTAGAAAAAAACCAGAAACATGACTCACTTGTACTACCAGGAGGAAAAGTTATCAGGATCATCAAAGAATGATTTCATCCTTTTTCTTCCCTGCTCTTCCTTGCCCTTCCCTTCCTTTTGCTTCCCTTCTTTCTTTTTCATGAAGTACACATCATTCTACATAGAGTTCCCAGCTGTGAACACTCTCTTAGGAAGAACTATGATATTAAACCACTGTTATTGAAGGGAATTAATATTCCATTCCAACATGAGAGCCAGTGATCATCCATTACCCTGTGATAAATGGGGAGGAAGGAAATTTTACAAATTTAACTCTTTAGGTAAATAAACCAAAAAGAAATTGTTTGTCAAAATGTTAGTAGAAGAGACACTATACATGTAAGAAAGGTGGTACAGACATTGGACTTGAAAAACTAAAAGTACCATGGAGAGAGAATGGTTAAATTATTTAGGTGGAGAGACTAGCAGGAGCCATCATACCAAATGGCATCTCATAAAAATTCATGTAAGGCAAGAGTAACATAAAAATAGCATTTTTAATTTTAAAATCACTCTAAAAGGAACTTAAAGATTAGAGCAGAAGAGAGATTCTTTTTTTTTTTTTTTTTTTTGGCACTATGATAGACGAATCATTTTTAGATTTCTTTTGTAGTGGGAGAATTTTCTGAATAATTATGTCTAAAATTGATAAAGAAGCAAAACAATATTCTCTTTTTATCTTTTTTCCTTTTATCAAGAAGAAATTCCTTTCCAGAACAACTCTTTATCTCTCTCAGCAAGTTTTTTTTTGAATTCTATTGGCCTAGCTTGAGTCAAATGGACATCCCTAAACCACTTACTGACAAGAAGATGAAATTAAATGCTTGCTTTAGGTCAACCATGGTTTAATCCCCTGGGTCTTGGAGTAAGGACAACTTTCTCTTTACTCCCTAGGGCAGTGGTTCTCAACCTTCCTAATGCCACAGCCCTTTAATACACTTCCTGTAGGTCTTGACCCACAGGTTGAGAACTGCTGCCCTAGGGCCTTTGGACAATCAGCACAGTATCACCAAAGAAGTGGGCAATGCCCATAGGGCAGACAACTGGCTGATCTGCCAGCTGGTTTGAGTTCTGAAGCAAGCCTTCTCAAGTCTTGAAAAAAAAAGGACATTTATTTGACAAACATAGTGTTCCTTAGGTTTTAGAGACCTAACTGACAATCTTCCAAGATAAGACATGATCTTTGAAATATCATGGCTACAGCCTTCAAATATGAAACGTAATTATTTTTAAATTAAGGGTATAGAACCTACTCTCATATAGTTTTTGTAAAAAGGATTTTCAATTTGAATAAGTATTTTAGCTTCATAGTTAATACTCTTACTTCTGAAACTTTAAATATATATATATACTTAAAAGTAACATGAGGGTATAAAACTGCTTTCATAAAAAATATCTATAAGTACCTATCCTTCTATTTCTCTAAGCCCACTGAAATATGTGGAATTCAAGTAATCGAATGTCTAAGTGTTATGATTGTATTTTTATTATATTGCCTAAGTTTTTTTCATATTTGGCAAATGTTCTTTTTATAGAAAAAAGTCAAAATAGTTTACTAAAATACTGTGGAATCTCATTTTTGTTACATTATTTATCTGTCTTCCCTATAAGCCTTGTATCTATGTTAATGAAGAAATGTCTGGGATGTTGAGCTATCAATCATAATGATTATTTCTGGGTTCTGTGACTTGAAACAATTTATATTTCTGCATTGTAATTTTCAAAAATACTCCATTTTTAATACTTTGAGCTTTTGTTCTTCTTACAAAAAACAAATGTGAAGAAACAGGATGGTAAAATTCTGTTTACTACTAGAACATAAGCAAGGGAAATGGAGACCTTGTCTCTTTCTTTTTCTTTTTTTATTTCAAAATATTACAGGGGTATGCACATTTTGGTTCCACAGTATGCATTTGTATATTTTAAATCAAAGTTATAAGTGTACCCTTTAGACTTATACCTAACATGTAAAACTACAAAAATTGTAAAATAAAATGTTGGAAAATCTCTTGTAGATATAGACCTAGGCAAAGAATTTATTAAGAAGACCTCAGTGAAACAGCAACAACAACAAAAAGAAATAAATGGGACCTGATCACATTAAAATAAATTTGTACAGTCAAGGACACACAACCAATAAGCACATAGACAATCTACAGAATAGGAGAAAATCTTTACATGCTCTACATCCAATAAAAGGTTGATAATCATCATCTACAAAAAACTCAAGCAAA